TGCATTTTTAAGTTGTATTTTAAATCCTAAAGAAAATACAAAAATATTTTAAATTTTTACATTTTTAGATTTTAATTGCATATGTAAAATACTAAAAATACCAAAAATACATTAGTAACTTTACATGCATTTGTTAGCTAAATAAATTAGTTAATCGTTAGAAAAATAGGTCATTAGGTTAATTTTACAAATTAGTTGGAATTAGGAGTGTTAAATAAATTGGCTATTCTTGAAAATGAAAAGAAAGGAAAGAAAAGGCTATTTGCCTTGTTTTCAAATCGGGCCAGTTGACCAGCAGCCCAGTCTTTCAAAATCCGCCCCAGCAACCGGCTCAATGCCCCTTCCCCACTTATTAAAAGAAACCAAATTTCACTCCTCTCGGAGAGACAGGGAATAAGGGAACAAAACGGACCCTCCCCTCCCATAGACGAACCCTGACAGCGGCGCCTCACCTCTCCATCAACTCCGACCAGACCCTCTGATCCCATAAGTAAAACCTCGCCTTCCAATTCTTCTTCTCCAAAAAAATCGAACAGACTTCCTTCCCCTTTGAGAACCAAAAACCTTGCTGCTCACTCTCACTCTTTCACTCATACTTCCTCACACACAGAGGTTAATACTTAGAATCACTCCTCTCAAATACACACCAGAATTTACCTTAGATTTTCCTTTTCTTTTCTTTTATAAGCTTAATTTCTCTCATATAAAGATTTCAGAGGTCTTATTGGGTGCTATTCATCAAAATTCTGATCTTTCTCAAGTTAAATTTTGAGCTAAATTCAAGGTTGATTCTGGTTTTGTTCTTGCTACTTCCCTGCATGCTGCATTTGTTCTTGCTACTGCTCTTTTTTCAGTTTTCAGAGGCTTATTTTCTGTTTTATTTGATTCTGCTACTAGGTATGTAAATTTTCATTTATCATTCTCCATCTACTGATATGAGTAACACTTGCTATATTCGTGTCATGTTTACACTTAGCTTCTGCTCACTTGAATTGGTTGTCTAGTATGTTCTAGACTGTTTAGTGTTCCTCCTTGGTTGATTTTTGTCTGTTGAAACTATTTTAGTTTGTTAAAAATGTTGTATTAATCAGTTCATCATCTTCTATAGCTTGTTATTGTCTAACTAATGATTTATGTTCAAAAATGGTATTAAGATGTGGCGGCATGGATGGATTTGACCACGAGTTGGTCAGAGTCATCTCTGAAGGAGCCAATACAACACTTTTAATTGCAGAAGTACATAGGGTATGGGTTTCATAGTTTTTTCATACCTTTAACAGCTTCAGGTTTCACTGGTTAGCCATAGAAGTTCGTATGAGTTAAAGTGAAGTTCATTGACCATCCTTGTTTGAAGATTACTTGCTGATGAACGATTTGTATAAGATCAGTTTGAAATGGTTATGTAATAATTCATGAATTCAACTACTGTAATTAACAGCTATGGAGCAGGCTATATTTGTAAACTTAATCTCCAATTTAGCTTTACACATGATTCTAAATTTGAACGTATGAGGTTCTATGTTTTCTTCTTCAGATTTTGTCTCAACAGGGGTTTACATAAATGGGCGAAACTTGTAACTTGGCCCAACTGGAAGTCATTTAACGAGTCTGGACCTCAGGCCGTTGGGCCTAGGGTATTGAACCCAATAATTTGGCCCAGATCGTATATCTTGTTCAAGCTAGTGTAGTCGTAGTACTAGTGTTGTAAATTTAGAATGTACTACTGTTATAAATTTGAATTAAGTTCAATCATTTTCCTGGCTTGCTGCCAATTATCTCATGAATTAAATTGAGTTGATAACATATTGGTTTATAATTCATTATACTGTTTGCTTCTGGAAATTAAATGCCATCTCGAGTAGTTTAGAATACTTAGAAACGAATGGTCTGACACCCACAGTGTATCTCCATAACGTTTGAACCTCACATGCAATCTCGAACTTTAGGATAATCAAACCATGAATACACGTAGTTTGCTTTAAGCGCATTTAAATAAATCATCGTGACTATGGGTACGGTTCCCGTGGCATAGTTATGATACGTAATCCCCGATTCGAATCCCAAAAGTAATTAAAATTCTATTAAAAGCGGTCAGAAAGCTAAAAAGCACAATATGTTTTGAACATGTAATAAATGAGATAATTAGGCCAATTATTAATAGTTGAGCGACCGTGCTAAAACCACGGAACTCGGGAGTACCTCACACCTTCTCCCGGGTTAACAGAATTCTTTACCCGGTCTTCTGTGTTCGCGGACCATAAATAAGAGTTAATTTACTCGATTTGAAATTTTAAAATAAACTGGTGACTTGGGACACCGTAAATTATTCCAAGTGATGACTCGAATAAATAAATAATCTCGCTCACGAAAAAAGAGGTGTGACTGCTTACACAAGTAAAAAGTCTAAAAGCGTAAACTATGATTAGTCTCTCTTCGGTTGTAGGCAAAACAAAATACTAGTAGTAGTAGTATCAAACACATGCTCCTCGTACCAATTACCAAAATTGGAAACACAATGTCAATGGCGGCAACTTTATCTCCAGAACCAATCTTTTCCTTCATAGAAACGGCCAATTCCATTTCTGAACTCCACCAGTCTCACGCTTTCCTGCTCAAAACTGGCCTCTTTCGTAACCCTTTTGCCGCTAGCCGCCTCTTAACCAAAGCCACTACACTTCCCACTTCTTCCTCCGCAGACACCCTTTCATATGCTCTCTCTATTTTCACTCACATCGAAGAACCTAACTCATATACCTACAACACTATCATCCGTGCTTATTCTACTAGCTCTTTCCCGCAACTTTCACTCATAATCTTCCTCAAACTGTTAAATGCTGTACATAAAATTTTCCCTGATAAGTACACTTTTACATTCATTGTAAAAGCTTGTGCTACTATAGGAAATGCTAAACAAGGTCAACAAGTTCACGGGTTAGTGACAAAAATAGGGCTTGAGGAAGATGAGTATGTGTATAACACTTTAATTCATATGTATGCGAAATGTGGGTGTTTTGGAGTTTCGCGTGGTATGATTGATGGGTTGGTTGAAGATGATGTTATAGCGTGGAACGGGTTGTTGAGTGTTTTTGCCGAAAGGGGGTTGTTTGAGTTGGCGCGAGAGTTGTTTGATGAAATGCCTGTGAAGAATGTAGAGTCTTGGAACTTTATGATTTCTGGGTATGTGAATGTTGGATTGGTGGATGAAGCAAGGAAGGTGTTTGATGAAATGTCGGATAAAGATGTTGTTTCTTGGAATGTTATGATTACTGGCTATACTAAGGCTGATAGGTTTGCCGAAGTTTTGGCTCTTTTTGAGGATATGCTGAGAGCTAAAGTGAAGCCTGATAATTGTACACTTGTGAATGTGCTGTCTGCTTGTGCTGGTGTTGGATCTTTGAGCCAGGGAAAGTGGGTTCATGCGTATATTGAGAGGTACGGGATTCAGGTTCATGATTTTCTTGCTACTGCTCTTGTGGATATGTATTGCAAATGTGGATGTATTGAGAAAGCTTTGGAAGTGTTTAATGGTACTTTGAGAAAAGATATTAGTACTTGGAATGCAATGATTGCAGGGTTAAGCAACCATGGGTTTTTGGATGATGCATTAGAGACTTTCAATGAACTCATTGCTGATGGTATCAAGCCTAACGAGGTCACTTTTGTAAGCGTTTTGTCTACTTGCAGTCAAGGGGGCTTATTAAGCGAGGGACGCAGGATGTTTGATCTCATGATTAGTGAATATAGGATTCAGCCTACGCTCGTGCATTATGGTTGTATGGTTGATTTACTTGGTCGGTTTGGATTATTAGAGGAGGCTGAAGAGCTCTTGAGCAGATTGCCAGTGAAAGAAGCTCCTGCTATTTGGGAGTCCCTCTTGAGTGCTTCCAGAAGCCACAATGATGTTGAATTGGCAGAGCGCATTGCTACCAAACTTTTAGAGCTTGATCCTCACGATAGTGCTGGTTATGTTCAACTATCAAATGTCCTTGCATCTATGGGGAGATGGGATGATGTTAGAGAAGTGCGGAGGAAGATGAGAAGTGAGGGAGTGACTAAAGAGCCCGGTTGTAGCATGATTGAAGTGGATGGAGTTGTTCACGAGTTCTTGGCTGGTGAAGGGATAATATTCTAACTTGGACAAAAGACTTCTTGGACAAGGCCATCAATCTAAAATAGTAATAGCTCTATAAGCGCTGCATCTGGGCTTCAGAGGAAGCTGAATCTTCCATTTGTCGTGAGTGCTTGTTACTACTGTCATACTGTGGTACTAAAATTTTGCTGACCTGCTTCTACTACACTGCAGGCGATTTCTTTAATACTCTCTTGTACTTCTCAGGCTGCCAGATGGAAATTATAGTATGTAGACTTGAGTGGTGGCAAGACCTTAGGAAGCACAGATGATGCAAACTGTTAAAAAGGATAGAGTTTATCTTCTTTATACAGACCAAAACATTTGCTTATATTGGTAGAAATAGCTTTCTAGTGTAGCAGAAGCAAACAGTTTGTTGTGAACTATATAACAAGCAGCTATCCTGAACTGTATTAGAAGCAGCAATCAAAAACCTCTATTATAAATATAACGGATCTCGAAGTAAAGTTTATTATTCCTTTGCATGATTCTCTTCGGTTCATAATGTATAAGTATTTCTTATCATTTAGATGTCTTTTTTTGGGATAAATTTCTTATCCATTAGTTAATGCATTGGTATCCAGATACAGATGGAATTCTGGCTGCCAGATTCTAGTCGCAATTAAACTCCTTGTTAATTCCAGTAAAAGGAGCTAAATTGTCTTATGGACAATGAACTATTGTGTTCATTGCCCTGGCAAATATAAAAACTATCACGCTTGATTGCTCTTTGCAAATTTCAGAATGCAAAGCCTGTAATTCTAATTCGTTTTTCCTCATTTTAGTATTAAAGACATAGTAATAATTAAAAAACAATAAGCATTCTCCTAAGAGAGGACAAAACCTATAACTTATTTACATTTGCATGAAGCTAAGCAATTGTCAAGTCATCAGAACAACAGCAATTCTGCAATCCTGCTCCAATATTGACCTGGTTCAGCTCAAACCATACCTGTCGAAAGACCTTGATAATGAGATCATGGTATTCATCGCAATTCAGTGTCAGATAACAAGCCAATAACTCTTCAAGCTCCTCTGAGTTTTTTATCCCTCTCTGTGTTATCATCTCAAGCATCGACTCTCTGAAGTCCCTGAAAGGGTCAAATGAACTCTTCACAACAGCATAGCTATCGAAAACTGTCCTGTCTCCACCCGATTTTGTCTCTTGTCTCATCTTCATCTTTGCTTTCTTCATGTCTTCAAGAGCTTTGATTCTGCATTCTATCTTGGCTGTTGTTCTTGGTGAATATGCTCTAATTTTAACACCATGTTTTCGTCTTCTCTTCTGGTTTATGTACACTGAATTTCTCTGCTGATATTCACTTTTCTCTGACATGTCTTTGATCTTCTTGTCTTTCATCTCTAGGCATTCTGATTCAAATTCTTCTTCAGACAATTCATCAGCTTCGTCCTCTAGATTCAGAGATTCAAACATGTAAGTTTCCTTGACTGTATTCTGACTGGAATCAGTCACACTCCTCGTCTTTCTTGTACAATAGGCTCTTGATTTCTCCTTCCTCTTTTGCATTACCTTCTCATTCTCCGGCTCTATTTCGAATATATCTTTCTCTATCATCTCTGTTGCTCTTTCTTCTTCTTCTTCTTCTTCTTCTTCTTCTTCTTCTTCTTCTTCTTCTTCTTCTTCTTCTTCTTCTTCTTCTTCTTCTTCTTGTTGATCAGGTTCTTTCGCATTTTCTGCTATTCTCTCCTCCAGAGCTTTTCTACTCAGTTTCCTCAACTTCTCATCTTTGATAGCATTCCTCTTTCTGTTGCTGAATTCTGCTTCTTTCTGTGCAATCCACATTTTCTTGTGCTTTTCCGCTATCTTTCTTGAAACCATATTATTGAACTCGTGATTCTCTTCTGCCAAAAGAATCTTGGAATTCCAAGCTGAAACTTGATCACATTCATCATAAGAACCATTCCAGAGTGGGTTCTGAATTTGTTGATTCTGAGGATGAGCTTCAAATCTGTCTTCAGTAAAAGAAAGCCTCCAATAAGGATCATCATCATCATCTCCACCATAGAATCTGCCTTCTTTCAAGCTAACATTCGTCGTCGGCGAAGTCAAAGAAGTCAAATTCACCTTGCCCTTGTGCTTCATTTTTGCTGCTTCTTGATGCTCAGTGTTGCCATTCTTCTTTTGCTTGAATTTTGACAGCCAAGAAACAGGGAAAACATGATTGATCAATGAAGTTGAAGGTTTCTTTTTTCCCCACTTCATTTTTTCAAAGCACCAAAAAATGGAAATTTTGGAAATATGCTAAATGGTCTTTGTTGGAGTTTGCTTGGAAGTTTGCAGAGGCAAAAAGAAGTGCAGTAGAAGCAGTTAAGGGGGACAGTTAGGCTGTTAAATAGAGACGTGGGATTCATGTTGGAGGAAGGTGTGCACTTTTTTAGGTTGTGTGTTTGCTTTTAGAAATTGTATTGCACTATTTAGTTCAAAAGAAAGGCCCGCCATTTGGAAATCTTGTGACCACTTACCCACTTCTTCCTACTTTCTAGTATTTGTACCTTGAAGAAGCTTTTGCAGAATTGCTGTTCTATCTTGAAGGGACCAAATTCACTTGGTCTCCTACCTAAAGTCATTACCCATGTATCCTTTTTACTTTTTGTCTTTTATTTTCTACCACTTATATACATCCACAGTGCAAATTTTTTTACACAACATCATAGTAGGTTATTTGCTTTTTTTTTTTCTTTTTCTAGATTACCAAATTATCTTGCTATAAATAGTTACATGTTGGTTTGAATCATTAAACTAGATGGTGTGAAAATACAATACAATGTATATATTTATAACCAGTAAGGCATATCGTCTAATAGGATAGGTGGGAGCTTTTCACACAATCAAGTGTGATTCGATTTCCATTACGCTAATATACCAATGTAATAGGTTTTAATTGTTATATGCAAAAAGTAACGGATTCACAGGGATTGACGAAAATGTTTGAAGTTAGTAATATTTCCAGTTTGTTATAATTGTGTTTAAATTCATCATATTATATTATGACAAAGACCGTATCACAAATTAATATTATAAAATAGTTTCAACTCCTTTTTTTTTTTTTTTGAAATTAGGGGTGTACATAGTTCGGGTTTGTTCGGATTTTTCAATTACCAAACCAAACCAATGGTGTTGGATTTTCAAATCATAAAACCAAACCAACAAAGTCAGGTTTTTCCATCTCGATTTTTCTCTGATTTTTTAGTTTTTTTCCTGATTTTCGGATTTTTTATCCCGGTAAAGTCTTCATAGCACAAAATATTTAACTTGTGCTTCAAATATTTCTTTAGTCCTAGTAAGATACAACTATATAATTTATTTTTCAAGAAAATAACATAATAATATGATATAAGTCATAACAATATACTAAAATATACAATAAAGATAATAAAATTTTATAAAGCAAATACTGCTAATTAATAAGCCATAATAAAAACTAACACAATCTAAAAATACTATATAGGTCATTCTAAAATAAGTATAGCTAATACGTACTAGGAGTATTAATTACATAACTAAGCACTAAAGAAAAAGACAAACTAAGTTATGTATTTTTATTATAAACCAATGTAAAACTAAAGAATAGATATCCAACACTATTGTCAGTCCTAGACTCCTAGTGTTGAATTGAATTTCTTTTGTTAGCACTAGTATTGATTTGAACTTTGTTTGAGTTACAACATTTATGTGCTATAAAATTTATATATCATTCAGGAATGTTAAGCCCAAATTTTAAATAATATGTTAAAAGATAAAATTATAAAAAAAATTAAGAAATATTTATAAATCATATTACAATAAATATTTTATGTATAAAATATTTTTAAAAATTATATTAATATATTATTGGGTTGGTTTAGTTTCGGTTTGACTTTTTTTAGTTAAAACCAAACCAAACCAATTATGGTCGGGGTTTTTCTCCAATATCAAACCAAATCAAACCACAATCGAATTTTTCTCTGGCTTAACTCGAATTGCTGGTTTGGTACGGTTTATCGATTTTCTTTGTACACCCATAAAGAATTCTGTAATAATGGTTGAGTCATGAGAAACTCTTTTAGTTATGCAAAAGATCTGTGTTTTCGAATAGTCAGGCTTACGACTATCCACAGTATTTCATCACGTAGGATTTTGAAAAGTGAATTGTGAAATTTTCTTTATATTTCTGAATGAAATTACTGTACAAGAGGACTGTATATTTATACAAGTATTAACTATTTTATAAAGAATCAGAAAATAAAAATAGCCTATGAATTATGTACACTTGTCATATTTCTATTAGCTCAATTCTAACAATATAACTAACTATTATTCCTTCAGCATGTGGGTCTTTGTGTGCATGTGAGAAGGGTCTAGAATGTGACCATGCTTTGAACGGTCCAGATTAGATCCTTGATTATTTTGCTTGTTGGATGAGATAGTGCCACGTTGCATGTCACGTGGCTTTTCAAAGGATGGGCTAAGACCAAGTCTTAGCATTGTTTTGTCCGAATTTGTTTTGTCTAAGACCTTCAGTCTTTTTTTCTCTTCTTCTTCATTGACTTCTTTCTTCTCTTCTTCTGTACAAATTCCTTTATGAGAAATCAAATAGTTAGAGTGAGATCGATGTATTCCAACATCCTCCCTCAAGTTGGAGTGGATAGAAGATACCCCAACTTGCCAAGAATCGATCTGTGAGAAAGCCCTGATAAGGGTTTGGTGAATATATCGGCAAGTTGAAGTTTTGAGGGAATAAAAGAGAGGAAGATGAGACCGGAAAGGAACTGTTGCCTGACAAAATGGCAATCGAGTTCAATGTGTTTGGTTCTCTCGTGAAAGACGGGATTCCGAAAAATATAAATGGCCGCTTGGCTATCATAAAAAATTGGAACTGGAATCGGATGGGGAGAAGATAGATCGGTGAGTATGCGAGTTAACCAAGTGAGTTCAGTCACCAATCGACGCATGGAATGATACTCTGCTTCAGTGGAATGGCAGCGTGTGGGTCAAATAATTAAGCTTGCCGACATGACGACGATAGAGGGAAGCATCAGATAAAGGAGCTCCAGAATTGGCAACCAATTTGGAAGATGGATCAAGTGTAGAAGAAAGCAAATTTCCTTTGAGTGATTATAATCCCATCCTGCTCCCTTAAAATCTTCATGCCTAAGAAGTAGTGAAGAGGCCCAAGGTCCTTCATTTTAAACTCAGAATGTAGAAATGCTTTAAGATCTGATAATTCACCAAAATTATCGCCTGTAATTAGAATATCATCAATGTATACAGCAATAATATAAATGAGGGTCCCTGTTTGTTTGAAGAATAAGGAGTATTCATTTCGAGAGAAAGAGAATCCCTTAAAACAGAGGGCTCCGGCAAGCCTGGCATACCATTGTCTTGAAGTTTGCTTCAAGCCATAAAGAGAATTTTTAAGTCGACAAACATGGTTGGGGATGGGGGAAGACAAACCAGCAGGGAACTTCATATAAAATTCTTCCAATAATTCCCTATGTAAAAAGGCATTACTCACATCAAATTAAGAAATAGACCACCCTTTCTTGACTGCAATAGAAAGCAAACATCTGATTGCTGTCATTTTGACAACTGGAGAGAAGGTTTTTGTGTAATCAATGTCTTCTCTCTGCACATCACCCCTTATAACCAGCCTGGCCTTTAACCTTTCAACAGTACCATCAGCATGGCGCTTGACCTTGTAAACCCATTTACATGGAAAAGCTTTCTTGCCATTAGGTAAGAGAACAACATCCCAGGTGTGGTTCTCTTCCAAAGCTTTGAGTTCAGAATCCATGGCTTGGACCCAACCTGGATTGGAACAAGCCTGAGTATAACTGGTAGGTTCTGAAATGGTAGAGAGTGATTGAATAAGATGCTGATTAGGAGTAGAGAGTGCAGAAAAGGAGAAGGTAGGTGGTGAGCAAGGAGATGAAAAACAAGAGGTGGTGAGATCAGTGAAGTAGATGTTATTGCAAACATAGTCTTTAAGATAACCAGGCAGGGTGCCTTTATTATCTCTGTTTGATCTCCTGAGGGGAATTGGTGGGGAGGAAGAGTCAGAAGAAAGAGTAGGTAAAGTAGGGGAAGCATGTGAAGTAGGATGTGTAGGAAAACAAGTAAGATTGGTGTGAGGTATGGGTGTAGATTGTGTTGTAGGTGAGTGCTGAGAAGGAGTATCAGGAGTGAAATGACTGGGAGTGTCACGACCCAAAACCTACTAAAGGTCATGATGACGCCTAACACCGTCGCCAGGCAAGCTAACAGTGAATGATTAACTTAATTACTCATTTTAGTATTTTTGAAATCAAAAGGTAAGAAATAGAATTTATAGGGTAAATGATAGTATTTTTCACGACTACAATAATGAACAACCCATAAGCACCCCCAAAACCCGGTGTCACAAGTGCATGAGCATCAACTAAGAAATATAATAAGATACAACATCTGCCTGGAATACAAATTAGACAGAAGAATATAGATAACTCTGATGGAGACTCTGCAGGCAGCGGATCGTGACATGAAATGTAGCTCACGGTAAGTCCCCGCAACATTCATGCCTCTGCGCCCAGTAGACCACCAGTAATATATGTACTTGTACAAAAATGTGTAGCAAGTGTAGCATGAGTACGTAAATCAACGTGTACCCAGTAAGTATATAGCCTAACCCCAGAGAAGTAGTGACGAGGGGTTGACATCGACACTTACTAGTGGTCCAATAAGACAGATACAACAAGAAGTAAATAGATATGGGGCAGAGTAAACAAATGAAATGAACAAGTATAAATACGTGGTATAATCCTCCTCCATACAATAAACTCAACTCCCAATTTGCAATTTCCTCCTCAACCGGAGCATATATATGTAATGGATCTCACCAGATAGGTCATCATAATTCAAATTAGGAAGGCTCATAGATACACTGACTTCTTGTCAAATATTACGCATGATTCCATGAGAGTATTATATAGAAATGCCGAGGCATACGACACGATCCCATCATAATCTGTGCACTGCCGAGGGTCGAACGGCACGAACCATAGATGCATCTATTATATTGCCGAGGCGAACGGCCCGCTCCCATGAGAGTGTGGTACATAATCCTGCCGAGGCAAACGACCCAATCCCATTAGAATAAGAAGCTTAATCGGGTCCTTGACCCCACTCACGAATAAACTTGTGAGTTATCATTGTTAAGGAAAAACCTTTCGATGAAAACGCATAGC